AAATATTTCTGTGGGCTGCTCCTTCCAGAAAGACAATAGTTTGAAAGARCAAAAGAGTGTTAAAATCCTTGTCTTTTGATGTGCAAATGTTTGTCTTTCCCATTTCCTTGATACCTAGTTGATACATCCACCCTGAGCATTGAGTTTAGCATACTCGTTTACAGCGCTTAACAGATTTTTTTTTTCTATAAAGACATCAAACTAATTTTGGTGGCTCCTATGATTTAGCTCCCTATGGATGCAGTTTGATAATCAACTCCCAAAGAAAAACTGATTTATACTGCCTGGGTCGATTTGGGATTGGTTTTTAGTGTGGCTTTTTTAATTATTTTGGTGGTTGGGGTTTGTTTGTGGGTTGTTTTTCGGGTTTGTGTGTGGGGGTTCTTTTTGTTGTTTGGGGTGTTTGTGTGTTGAGTTTTTGTTGTTGGTGGTTTTTGTTTGTTTTTCTTTTCTTTAAACTGTTTCTTCTGGGGCTGATTCCAGCTGTTACTCACCACCTCTTTCCACGACACTCAGCTTTTTTTCCCATGCAAAACATCATATCAATCAGTGCCTACTAGGGAGAAGATTTTAACAGATGATCAACAGCAGAGAGATGATCCATCAGCAAAAATCCAGTGAGAAGAGTGTTTTAGATTCTTTTTATCTTAATATTATTAAAAAAAAAATCCTGGGACTAAGCAACTTTTCTAGATCATATGCAAGCAAAAGTGTTAAATTGGTTGGTAAAATATTTGTATATAACAGTGATGATTACCATGACTTTGCGAAGAGAAAGCACTTCATACCACCACTGAGAAGGGGAACTTTATCTCCACCTCGTGCCAAGATATTTTCACCTTAAGAGACTGTATGAGACTACTCTTGGAAAGCTGAGAATAACATAAAAGGGATAGTGTTATAAAGTTAGGGTAACTAATGTGTTGATTATGCAAAGTGTGGCTTCACTGCCGAATCTGTGCATAGGCGTGCTGCTGACAGAAGGAGATTGGGGTGGAGTGTTCTCCTAAGTGACAGTCTGGCGTTCTGAACAGTCTGAAGACTGAGAGAAGGGTTTGGGCTGCTGAAGGGAATAGTGCCGGGATGCTCTGGCGCTGCCTACACAGATAACTCCGTGCTACAAGGAGCGAAGGGACACCAAGAACTTCACGCTGTCTCATCCCTGCGGCTGTTCCGGAACCTCCCTCCCGCTCCGGCCAGACATCCCTGCCAAGGCCCTGTGTGCGCACAGGRCTCGAAGCTGCAATTGCAGCCATCGTGGAGAGGACATGGAGTGTGTCGGACCAGCACGGGAAAATGTAGATGGTGGAGGCTGGTAATGAGCGGACAGACTGACAGTCGGGGWCCTACTGTGATTCAGCTCTGAGCCTGACCACCGCATGTTCCCCTATCCGATTTCTCAATTTGCGCCTATTTCCCGCATGTATGGGCTCCACCACAGATCTCGGCAGCTACAAATGGAGACACAGAGAGGATCTGAGGAGGAGTTCAATACTTCCATACGAGATAAGGCGCTGAATTTACTTCAGCAGTTCCCACACTTAGAAAACTTTCACGTACCATCGCTTTTCAGTCAATACCCAGCCAAGACAGAGACTCAGAACCAAAAGGAAAAGCAGGGGCAGATTTGCCGTCAGCCCCACGGCAGTGCCTCCTGGACAGGACGGGCTAGCCAGGGTGCAGCGGCTGGGGAAAGGGGCTGCTCTGGGACACAACGGGGGTGTGCGCAATCTCTCTGTTTCCACACAGACCGCTGAAGCCCGTTAAGGGTTAAATTGGGGGCCATGAGTATGACAGTTCAAGGGCGGCTCAAGCAACAGAAGGTAATTAACATCAGCATTTCCGGAAAGGAATAGCCAGATGAGACAGACAGAAATTCGTCACGGGAATGTGCGTGTGATTAACATCTCAGTCGCAAAGCCGGTGGCGGAGGGAAGCCGGGAGCGCCGCCGCGGGCAGAGCACGGCGGGACGCGGCGCCGGGGCCAGAGCSGAACGAGCCTGGGCTTTAGATAGAGCGCTGTCGCAGAGCTCCTGATGGCAGCGGGCACCTTCGTGGCCAGCTTGTCTTCTCTTGGCTGCACGGGAGTGGGTCCGACCGCCGAGTGRGCGTCGGGCAAGGAGGGAAGGGCTGGCAACGCCGTGCTCTGTAAATGGGAACGTAGAATTCTGGTTGTCACCACCCGCTGAGCTGCCGCGGCTTGTGCAAGCTGGACCGACGAAACGCGGAATGAAACCGCTAAATTATGATCTAGTGAATTGCACAATACATTCACTCCCACGTCAAGAGACCTGATGTCTCCTTCCAAGTGCTCAAGAGTCCCGACACGGGGCGCTTATTTGCACGGGGTACTTGCAGTGACCTCTCCACAGCCCATTGCTGCGTTTCAGTACTCTGCTTTGTACAGCGTACTCATCCTTCACTTTCTGAACGTTCCATAATAAGTTTACCATTAAAAGATATGCAAACATATACGCAGTATGTTTCTGACGTAGACATAACACTATGATCCCGAAAAAGACAGCGCACCCCGAAAACCAAATTAGATTTATAYTCCTCGACGCCAACAATATCGTGCACCCCACGACACACACGTCGCTCGTCCCCGACAGTGCGCACAGTGCCCTGCGTACGACACTGCCATCGCTCTGTGCCCCCTAAACACACACCGTTCTGCTCCCAGTGACGCCCGCATGGTCCCGCTCCTACCGCATACACACATCGCTGTCCGCCGATTTACACACACACCGTTTCGTTCCCGAAGGAAAGCGCATTGCTCTGCACTATTTCACAAACCAATCGCTCTGCTCCGGACGATGTACGYCGCGTACGGCAGCCCCGTATCTCTGAGTCTGCCGAAATCCGCATCGCGCTGCGTCGTCGTCCTCACACACTCCCCACCCGCTGCACGAAACACATCGCTCAGCGCGCTCAATCTGCATTACGTTTACATCCCGTCACCTGGAGCCCACAGCACCTCCCGACGCGGATATCGCTCTGCTCCCTGCGACATACGGTATCTCCTGAGCCCAGCAGACACACATATCGTTCTGCGCCATCTGATAAAACATTGTTCAGCGCCTGTTAGCTCACCTATCGTTTCGCCTGTCTCCGAGGGAGGCATCATTCTGATGCCCGATGGACGGACTCACCACTCTGTTGCTTCCCKACCCACCCATCGCTCTGCGCCGAAGGATCCCCCTTCGCTCTGCACCGGCAGACACAAAGCTTAATCAGCGCCCGACGGAGCACACTTCTCTCCCGATGACACACGCACGGCTCTGCTCTTCAAAGGACCGGCACATCGCTTTGCTCTTCACCGACATACACGCATTCCTCGGCGCCAGTGGACACACACATCGCCTCACTCGGCGCCCGCGGTATCCACACCCGTGCCACGCGAAAACCGCTACATTTTTGATACCCAGCAAACATAAAGATCCGCSTATATGGATCTGAGGCGACGACAGCTACATCAGTGTACAGCCCACGAGAATTCACATTGCTCCACAACCCCGCATTGCAAAACTCCCCGCACACGAAGGAAGAGCATTTAGGTGGCAGCAGAAAACAACTCCCGTCTCCGAGGGCAMCAAGGCTCTCACCAAGTACACCAGCTCCAAATAGGCTGCTTCTGCGCCCCGTGTCAGACTACCTTTTCCAGAACCACCACCTTTTCAAAAAGAGAGCTGATGATGCTATAGTGATTTGTACTTTGCTGTCCGTACTTTTTCTTTTTTTTTTTTTTTTTTTTTTTTTTTTTTTT